TGAAACGCAGAAGATTTAAATTTTTAATTTCATTTATTAAATTTAAATCTTTTGCGGCACGAACTTTCCGGACGACTCAATATTTCAGCTAATAAAAATTTACATTTATAATATTTTACAGTATTATTAAAAATTAGTTATTATCATAGGTGTCATCATTTGTACATTACTACTATATTTATTTAATATTAATTATATTTAACATTAATTATATTTTTTTTATGTGTTCCGCTTCTTTCACAATATCTTTGAACAGATATGTTACAACTATACATTCATTAACATATATTATAGGTATTCATGATTCTTCGAAAGAGTAGTTCCTGTATGATCACAAAAATGAAGTATGGTAAATGGAAGCTCGGATTGGTGACCGCGCATGGGTGCATTATAAAGTTCTTCAGTTCATAAAATAAATTTTTTTTTTATTATAATTTTGTCGTATATCCTCTGAAGTATGATGCTAATTAATAATATTTATTTTCACAATAAAATTTCAATGAAACTTTAATGAAATTTTCTCCACTACTATTACGCTATTAGTGACACTACTCGAATTTACTTATTGCATTAGTGACACTAATAGTATATTTTTATGCTGACGAAATCAATTCAAGATTTTATTTCCAACTCGAAAATTAATCGAAATTGCAGCCAAAAATCAATAGAAATTTCGAAAACTTTTGACTTTTATTTTCAACATCGAAACGACGTTTTTTCGAGAAATTATTTATTCGAGAAATTATTATACTGACTGGGATATTGGAGCATGTGACGCGAATAAACCTATTGGTTCTGACTCACAAGCCATAAGGCGGTTTAATATAAACTCAAATGAATATTTGGAACATACAGATCGAAAGGAAGATAGAGACGTAATTGCGTGCGTTACGACAACTTGGATGTCGATGTCGCATTACTAAGTTAGAATACAAGAAACTAAAAAAATCTACAACATAAGCATTTATCTGACGGCGCGAATAATTACCTAACGACAGCAGTAACCGATGCTGCAATCTCGTAATGAACATAAAGATGATTAATCTTACCAAGCACTAACTTAAAATCTATCTGACTGAGGCTTACAAAAGGTACGATCAACTCAATGCTGCAAACGTTTTGAAACGTTTTATAATTGGTCAGTTACAGTTTGTATAATTCTTTCTTCTAATTGGTCATCAAATGCTTCAAAGCATTTATAGCGAGACTGACCACGAAAGATTCGTGGTCAGTCTCGCTATAAATGCACACTGTGATGTCAGAAGAAGAGAAAAAGAGAGAGAGAGAGAGAGAGAGAGAGAGAGAGAGAGAGAAAGAAAAACAGGAAGAAGAATTGACTCGATCGCTGCAACTAACGCTTACAACGCCACAAGCAGTTACAAGTTTGGGCTGTCATATCTCTCAGGTTTCTCTCTGGTTGCTGTTTCTGCACATGTAAGTGCACCTTTAGCTTTCATGACTGCGCATATGCAATATCGTCTACACGTGAACAATTATAGCTGCGTTAGATAAGGATAAAAATACCACATATACAGTTGAAAAAATGGAGTCAGTGTTTTTCTCTTATTGATGTTTATCTCTTATTCTACAATCAATATATGTTTTTGTCATGATTTCAACGTTTTCTTTGGAACTTTGTTCGACGTCTCGTCGATTTTCTGTTTTTCTGAACCTTTTGTTCATTTTTTTTCCAAGTATGTTTATTCTTTCGTGATAAGTTACATTTTTTCATTGTTGATATACAATACACACACACACACACACACACACACACACACACACACACACACACACACACACACACACACACACACACACACACACACACACACAC